TGGATTTTTTTTTTTAATAATAAAGTCAAAAAAGGGCAATTTTCTAAAGTTTTGGTTCTCAAAATGTGTTCCCTGGGACAACAGCATGGTATCACCTAAGAACTTGTAAGAAATGCAAATTTTCAGACACAATCCTGCTGAATGAGAGATTTTGGGATTGGGGACAGCAATCTGGGTTTTTGCAAGCACTCCGGATGATTCTGATGCATTCTAAAGTTTATGAGAACTGGTATAAAGGGAAATGCAAAAGTAGAACCAGCAGCCTCCATCACAGACACCTTCTTAGGCAGATGAGTTTTAGGAAAGTGTCCAGATAGAAGGTAAAGTTCTGGAAATTGCTTGCCTTTGCATGCCCATGTACCTCTTCGAGAGTCTGAGGGCACCCCTGGGGTAGGCAGCTCTGGTTTGAAGAACACTGCTTTAAGATACGGAGTCCTTAAAGTACTTTCCAATTTTTAGTACATCATCTGTCCGTATTTTGTGAGCATGTATACCATCAGTCTGGTGGTGTTTACTTTCCAACCTTTGAATGGGCCTCTGGTTTTACAAGAAAAAGATCAGAAAGGCTTTATCTACAGGGAAAACTGAATAAAGTGGCATGATTAAAATACTCAATTTTTAAAGATCTAAAACAAAGTTTTAAATGCAGAAATTAAGATGCATTTAATTCCTGCATTTAAAACCTGAGAAATAGAAGTGAAGAAGATACATTGTAACTTCCCAGAAGAGCCAGCCAGGAAAAAGAACCTTAAATTCAGTAGTGAGCCATAAAAGAGGTCTAGGAGGAAGAATCCTTTTGGGTGAATTGTTCTCTGAATTCCTTCAGTTCCTAGATCAGATCACCCTCTCCCATGTTCGTTAGCCAGATTAAATTCTATTCATTCAATAATACATATTGAGCATGTATCACATTACAGGCACTATGTTAGAAATAGGGGGTTTTGTTATACACAAGACTAGCCAAGTCCCTGTCCTTAGGGAGCTTACAGCCTGATGGAAAAGATTATTAATGGCATTAAAGTAGAAAGAAATCTGATTTCTCAAAATGTTATTGTTGTTAACGCCTTCATTCTTGGCCATCTCCTTGTTCTGCTCTCCATCTTTGCCTGGTTCCATTCGTAACCATGGCTTTAACTACTCTCTACATTATGCTTATTCCATGTCCAGAAGGTTGGATTCCATAGGCGCACTAAACTCTA